TGCAACTATATCCAAAAATAGATGTGACGCGTTGCAACCCACTCAAATTACGAGGTGACCAACTTGACGAGTCAAGCCATAACAGTGATACCAAATCATGCTGAATGTGCAATGAGGCCTGACCTTAATCTCGAAATTGATCTAAAAAGTACATCCAAGCCCATCAAAAGTAATTTCAATTTTGTTTGAAAGGATCGTTCTTTAATTACTTCAATTTAGGGAAAAAAGTAGCAGACGTCTCTGATTGAAGTAGCCGACATTCTTCGTCGGACGTCGGTGCTTATTGAAAGCACTGCATGTAATCTAAATAAGGGTTGAAGACGTGGAATAAAACGTCTCATTTTCATTTGACAGAATTGTTGAAAAAGCCACTAGTGAAATCCTGCGAAATTACGATTCACGAGTAAAAAGTGTGGCCAGTCACGTTAATACTCTTTACCACCCTCAATAAACATTTCCTGCAGTACAGAAACTGTAATAAATTTAACGTGACATGACATCTGAGAAATAAGTTATTGTACTTGAAGGCTTATGTGAAGGAAAGGGCTCCATAGCAAACAAAATATTCCCTTAAAAATACTTATGGGACCACAGCCAAGCCGTGCTATTTGGGTATCAACTCTATCGTAGCTTCAGAAATTGAGCTTTTAATGTTATTGAAGACTGAGAAAAAAGAGCCTTTTTAGACCTACATATAGCACCAAAATATCACGCGAATTCTGACTAACTCTGCAGTGGAAACAATATAACTACCTGTCTAACGAATAGGGCAGGCCTATGTGAGAAAATTTTAAATATTTGGCATCAGGTATGCGTGTTAAAACCAAGCAATAACTGAGCTATTTGCACGATACTAATAGTAGTTTATGTTAGAAACACTTCAAAGACTGATAGGGGTGATTAGAATAAATTTAGGTGGTTGTGATTACTGTAGATGTAGCTCCTATAGTAAAACGGCTTTTGATGACCATTTTACTCCATTTTATTAGTGTCAATAAAAAGTACCTCTATTTTGTAAGCAGTAGCAGACTTTTGCGTGCACGAGGAAACATTTCGTGCAGCGAAATCTTGTTGACGTAATTATAACGTGACACACAATGTACAGTGTGAAGGTATGCCGGAAGATGGCACGTTACTTGAGAAAGGTCGAAAAACTTTCAAGAATTGCAATGGTATAAAATCCTCTACGACCCATGCGATATCCTCAGTCATTTAGTTACAGGGTGGAAAGCGCAAATAATTATTTTAAACCATCACTGCAAAGAAGGTGCTTATAAGATGGGAGACTAAGTGTGCGTGGAATGGCAAAGAGCAATGTGTGCCAAGGAAAACAATCAACCCTCCAAGCCCTGCAAGCCTCGCCGCTGGAATAAAAATTAGAGTGAAGTTTGCATCCTGTTGGTACAATGCCTTTGTAGTTTTACCATGGGAAATGCAACGAAATGGTAAGTTGAATTTTGTTTGATTTACTTTTTATTTGATCAGACTATTTTTGGCCTGTGAGATAGTGTCAGTTCAGTCACTCACTCTGGTTTGAAATAATTTTGCATTTGTACTTTAACTTGTATATCAAATTCACTCTAGTTGTAACTGATGGTGACAGAAGTTACTGTCGAAACATGCATTTACAACTGAAAAGCGTTGTCCTTTTTTAAAAATTTATTAGTGGCCTGCTGTTAACAAGGCAATTTGGCATATAAAGGAAGGGGATAACATGAGTGGGTTGGAATACTAGAAAGGTTTCCAGTTCCAACAACTTTACCTTCGGTAAGTATTTTTGATACATTTTACACTCTTCATATATTTAACATTTTCCTTTCAATTCCTTTGTTACCCTAGAGCTTCAGTATTCCTAAATTAAGTGAAACGAATAGCTTTCAGTTGTACATGTCTGTTGAGTTTTATTCTATTTTTAGACTTATGCAGGAGAGTAATTGGTATGGAAAATATAATCTTGACATTTGTTTGTTCCACAATAGGTGACTGGGGTACCCAGTTCAACAAATTCAAGCTCGTGCACACCTTCGATGCATGTACCAACTGCGCAGGTGCCAACACTGGCAGTTTTAACACCTTCAAGCAAGAAGACAGTAGCAACGATTTTAGAGAGGACTCCACAACGGCACAAAGCAGTGCTAAAACTGTTAGCTGTAAAGTTCACCAAAGAGGAACTAACGGGTGCCAATTGCACCGGGTCACAGGGGAAGTCAAAGCTGGACACAACCCGCTTGGTGCTTATTAGAAGTAAGTTGGTATACTGGAAGAATTCAAACAAGGACATTCTCATAATACGTTTGTGATACATACCTACTGCCGTTACTAACCTTGCCTCATGCCTCGACGGTGCATATTTTCTTGCTTTTTTGGTGCGTCACGCAATATTTAGCAGCCAAAATAATGTGGCATACTTCACACTGTGCTGTTCCTATGGGACTAGGTTAACCATCTCCTCATATTTCAAACACAATTTAATTAAAATTATGTATATAAAACATCTGTGTATAGTGGGACTATCTAAAATATGTTCAAATGTCTTAGAATTTATTTACTCTATATATTACATCACAATTACAGAATACTTACGTTACAAAACAAATGTCTTAGAAGTTAATTTTTTTGTCCTGACAGGAATTATTTTTGAGAAGTATCCCATTGACGTGGCAGCTGAGGAAAGGGAGGAAACTGTCTGGAGGGCCATCTGTAAAAGGATTGATGCCAAATGTCTAGGAACAACATTTTTAAGCAGGTTTTAAAACAGACGGCAGTACTGTATATAGTCCAACTATGAAGCAATAAAAGTGCGCTTTTTAATTAGTTTTTAAGAGTAGTATCAAAGAGCCCCTTAAATTGTCCTTCACTGGAATTTAAAACCAAGAAGCAGTTGCTTATCACTTTCACAGCGGTTAAACGCATTGCGTACGTGGTTCCCGCCAAAACTGTTGCCCAGATAAACATGTCAATTGACTAGACAGTCACTGAAAAGGTTAGCTTCAAACGCCTTATAAGCAGAGAGAATGTATATTATCCACCTTGTTTATTCGCCTTCTTCATAACGTTTTCCTTAAAATAAAAGTCTTGTATATTTTTTTGCAAGCTTCGAGGCAACGAAAAGTGGAAGTTGTAACAGATTTTTGCATTTGGCTGATCATTGCCAACCAAAACATCACGATTGTGATCCTTGAACTGAGAAACTACTGGTAATGATATCTGGGGAAGGGGGATGGGGTAAAGCTGAACACCCACAATTGCCAAAAACAGCTCCTGCAACTACGGGTTCTAACTTAGTGCCGATTGATAGGTCAAATCGCACCTTGTTGAACGGGAATTTGCATGCGTCATTATTTTGTCAACTTGTTTACGATACATTGATCCCTAACACAAACAACCAAAGCTCACACGATAGCAGAACTCTTGAGAGAACTCAATCGATTCAGTACATTTGAGATAGGAAACAGAATTGTACATGTACACCCTTGGGCAAAGTTAAGGTTACCACTACTTCAGTTGAAAAATGAATTTGAGCCAAACCCTTGGCACGTTTCCAAGGATTACACTTTCATTCATTATTAAATGCGAGTCCCCAGTGACTTTGAACTATTTTGTGTTAGGAAGCCTCCAG